AAAATTTTTGTAGTTTTGTAGGCGCGTTCTGGTTTGCATTCACTGCATGAATTACAAAACTATTTTACTTTGGGTAATTGTATTATGTTGAGAACGTTAAATTTTACTTAAAAAAAAATGTTTGTTAAAAAATTTGGCAGTTTTTCACATGCTTGTTAAAAGTTGCAATTTATTATTGTTTTCTTGGACTTCCCTCAATTAGCAGAAAAAAAGTGTCCTTTATCCTATAACTCTGCCAAATTTGTTCGATGTACTCCTATCGTATTAAAACTTAAAACTTATGGTATTAAAAATTGAAACGTTTAATCAACCCTTTAATTTGCATATTTTTTTCTCTTTTTTTATGACAATTGTTGTTTTATAGGTGTTGCGCACCAAATTAAAAAATTTGGCGGCTTACATTTATTAAATTCCAAACACAGAACAAAGCAATTCAAAACCTGCAAATAAAAGTTGCCATTTTACGAATGTTTCACGCATAACCTGTGATATTTATTTTGTGTCTTGAAATATAATTTTATATTTGTATGGGCTTTCCAATTGTTAAAAATTCATAATAATACTAATAATATGTATTTTGCCATGTTTATGCACTTCAGATTTATAAACAAAAATGTGTTTTTTAAAATAAAATTTGGAAAGAACACAATGTGGTTTGTTGTTTTTAGTGAAAATCAAATTCGCAATGCAATGCAAAGCGACGGTAATTAATTATCAAACTTTGTGGTAGAAAATGGTGTTTCCACCGCCGCTCGTTTCATTTGGAATGCCCCGATATACGGAAGTTCATGTTTCTTATAAAGTCAAATCTGGACTCGGGCAATTTTCTCACAATTGTGATTTATTCTTATATCGGCAAGAACCAAAACATATACACCAGTGTGTGTTTCTATTTGGTTAACAGTATCTAAATTCTATGAAAAATAACTCGCGTCACGCTGAGTTAAAGCCCACCATCTATTCGTCCGAATATTTCATAAATTTCGGTGGCACGACGTTTTCCGCGCTATCGAAGATGTATTGTATTTGTCAATCGTAGGTATCGACTTTGGTTACATTCGAAAATGAAATATAATGTTCTTAGAGATCACTGCCTATAATAGTGTATTGTGCAATAAATTGAAATGACACTTTAGTCACTCCCTGAAGAAGTTTTATCAACTTTATCAACAAAATACATTTTGGTTTCCAAACAAAATTAATTTTCTATAACAAGAGACCAAAGGTAACTGAAATGAATTAAAAAAAATTACAACAATATCTCAAACAAAAACAAAAGGAATTTCGAGATGCCCCAAACTGAAACTAATAATGGAAATTATATTAATTATTAATTTCTAACGAGGGTAATCCTGTTATATTGATTAGCGTATGAAATAAGATTTTTGCTGTATCATGCATTAACGTTATCAACGGAATAGTAAAGTGCAGTCAGAGCAATTGTACAGTTTTGTCGTAGCATGACATCTTTATTTAGTTCATTACTGGATGTCGCAAATTGACACAGAAATTTAATTTTCAGTTTTGAAATCAGTGCCAAAAGCCGCGTCAAAACATACTGATCACTTTTGATTACGTCATTATATGTGACGTAACTGCACTGTTCTGAATGGAGTTAAGGAGCGATCTGCTTTTGAAAACAGTTGCTACCATACCAGCAGGTAATTATATGTGAGTGCATAATACTATATTTTTTTATACGACAATTTTTTTGCTCGCGTTTTAAAGTGGCAGTTCTGAAAATTAAAGAAATTTTTTGATTTTTTCAATCCGATGTGCGGTTTTCGCTTAAAAAAATAAAAACTTCTGCTCTGCATGGTCATTTTTATTTTTTACTTAAGCAATTGTCTATCTGTTCTATTAAAATAATAATTAATTAAATTAATTAAATAAGAATTGTTTATTACTTATCTTGTTGTTAGGATGCTATGTTATTTAATTAAAACTGTAACTGTACAAATATTTGTTTCCTGAACGACACTAGTTGGCAACTAAAAACTATTTATTTTAGATAGATTAGATAGATTTCGCCACTTATGAGCAGGAAATTCCTTACGCCCGCCACTGGAGTATTTTTAAAAAATTGTGAACCCTAGATAATGTCTCTTGATACATAGTACATGTGTGCCAAATTTCATTAAAATATCTAAAGTTGTATTACAGATATTAAAACATATATTTTATTTTTGAAAACTTTTTCACCCTGTATCTCAAAAGTTTAGGACATATTGTCATATGAAGTTTTCTTTTTAAAATGAACCCAAAAATACCGCCTTAATTATTGACAATAAATTAGAAAACAGGGTGCTCTCTAAATCATTGTCAATAATTAGTGGATTTTTTTTCTGTTTTGTGGTAGCTCAATAACTCGAAAACACTTCGAACACTGGGAGGTTATCGGCGGTGCGTGCGGTATTTATACCCTGCGCCGGAGATGGTAACGGTGCTGCTTGTGCGGGAGGGGAGGTGGCTCCGCCCCCCGAGTTGTCGCGTTGTTAATTTCGCCCGATCGTAGTTGCGATGTCCCCGTTGGGTGCTGCGCATCGCTCTGCTGTTTGATTATCGTTCTCCACGTGTTGGATAAATGCAGAGCGTCGTCTCTCGTATTGAGGTGTCCGGACTTTTCTATTTCTATGGCCTCTCGTATAATCCTAGTCCTAAAATCAGGAATATTAGCTATTTGTTTGCAAGTGCCGAAATCAATTTTATGGCCTGTCTGATGTTGGTGCTGAAACAAAGCAGATGTTGTTTGTTTGTTTCTTATGGCTAAACGATGTTCCTCGAGCCTGGCTGAAATCCTTCTGTTGGTCTGTCCCACATACGTCAGGCTGCACGATCCGTATGCTACACTGTATACTCCTTGGATTTCCAGAGTAATTTTTTGTTTTGGGTTTCTTAGGATTGCTCCGATGGTATGATCAGGTTTGTATGCCGTTGATATGTCGTGTTTCCATAATATTCGGCCGATTTTGTCAGTAACCCCCTTGATGTATGGCAGGACAGCGATCGATCTTTGTTGGGTCTCGTCCTGAACTCTCTGCTGCGGCTGTTGTTGTTTACTGATTGCCTTGCTGATGATGCGCCTTTGGTATCCGTTTTGTCGAAGACAGGTACTAATTTTTTTCAGTTCTTAATCTCTGTTACTCTCGTTTGTGAGCCTGAAGGACCGAGCAATTAATGTATTTGCCACTGCCTGTATCTGTGATGGGTGGTGATGAGATTTAGCGTTCAGATATCTATTAGTGTGTGTTGGTTTTCTATATACAGTGTGTTCCAAATGTCCATTTTCGGTCCTTGTGATGTGCACATCTAAAAAGGGCAGACTGTTATCCTCTTCAAGTTCTATTGTAAATTGAATCCTTGGGTGGATGGAATTCAGATGATCTGGGAATTTCAAAAGCTCCTCCTTGCCAAAAGACCATATAACAAATACGTCATCAACGTATCTTGTCCATAGTTTTGGCTTCAAATTTGCCTTCTCTATTGCTTTCTTTTCGAAGTAAATCATGAAGAGGTTGGCAATCACAGGTGAGAGAGATGCTGTTCCATCTATTTGTCGGTAAATTTTCCCGTTGTACATAAAGTAAGCGTTTTTCAGGCAATGTCTTGACAGATCTATTATGTACGGCGGAAGATCTTCGTTTTCTTCTATAAGCAAGAGTGCCTCTTCTACTGGAATGCTCGGGTAGAGGGATTTGACATCGAAACTTGCCATAATGTCATCCTTGTCCATCCTGAGAGAACCTGAAATCTGAGTGAAATGTTCTGAGTTTTTAACATAGGAATCTGCCTTTTCCACTATGGGCTGAAGTGCACTGGCCAGATGTTTTTCCAGCTTGCATAATGGTGAGTTAAAGGCGCTTACGATTGGACGCAGGGGAACCCCGTCCTTATCGATCTTTGGGAGCCCGTAGAATTTTGGGCAACGACTTGATTTTCCCTTCTTTGTATCCTCGTTTATTGATGAATCGAGAATTTTGGACTTAGCTGTTTTTTCCAAATATGTCGTAGGACCTCTGGTGACTAGTTTGTATATTGGGTCGTTCAAAATATCCTCCAATTTTGCATTATAATCTGACGTATTCATGACGACAGTGGCATTTCCTTTGTCTGCTGGCATTATTAGAATATCTTCGTTTTTGTTTAGATTCCTTAAGGCTTGCATTTCTTCTCTGCTTAAGTTTGGTTGCGGCGGTTTTGACTGTCTTAAAACTCTGACGACATCTTGCCTAATTAACTACGCATCTTGTTCGTCTATGGTGGAAAGACTTGCTTCGACGTTGGAAACGATCTCTTCGATGGGTACTCTTTTTGGAGCTATTGCATAGTTAAATCCTTTATTCAGTACGCTGACTTCTGTATCGGAAAGATGGTATGCTGAAATATTATGAACTGTACTGCTTCGGTTTGTATTTGGCACTTGTCCTGATTTTTTGGAATTTGACTGAAGGATTTCTAATTTCTTCCACAATTTTTTTGACGTGATGTCCTTGTCATTGTCAGTGCGCCATGATGTTAATAATACTATGCGGTCCCACAGCAACTGATGGATCTTGTTGCTCAGTTTCAGTTTCATATATATATATATATATATATATATATATATATATATATATATATATATATATATATATATATATATATATATATATATATATATATATGTATGAATATATATCAAAATATTACCAAAATACTTAGCAAAAATATTACTTCCAGCACTTTCGGCATTTTATCTTATTGGTTATAGCTTTTCACCTCGCTCATTTGGAGATAGCTCCTTCTTAATTGGCCACACGGTGAACATAAGGTATATAAGTTCAAAGTAAATAAATCCACATAAGAAGACTCACAATTTTCGCTACGAAGGACGAGATAAAGAAGCATTGAAGTTTAGTAAAAAATTAGAAGTGGAAGAGATCAATACATCTCCACTCGCGGGATCGCGTGAGAAATGAAACTTTTTTGCTAGCACGTCTAAAAGGACATACGAAACGTACCTGTGCCTTTTCGGATACGGGGCGTACTCCGAAGGGTGCTTCTTGTACAGTTCGTATAAGTTTTCATCAGAAGGCACCTTTTGACGTACACACGCTGTTAATAAGGATGAAGCGCTCCGCGTCGAACATGGAGAACTGTTGTGCGATGAAAGACATCTGTGGAAAGAAGTCATCAAGTAATGTAAACCTGCGTGGTGATGCAGTTTCAAGCTGAAACGAAGTAATAAAAGTCTTATTTTTGCAATTTCAATATTCAATATTCAATTTTCACTTCTATAGAGAAACCAAACTTCAATTTCTTGTTTGCTTTTCGAAATTTAACAAATACTTAGTAATTTATGGTTTACTACTAAATGAATTAAATAATAATAAATAAATACAAAAGTAAATTGGGGTATTACACACCTTCAATTTATTTTAATGTTGTGTGTATAGGGTGTTCAATTTTTCGTGGGCGAATATGAACCTTTTTATTTTGAATGGTTCACCTAGTATATGACTTCATTTTCAAATTATAGACATATTTTGTTTATAATGTCCTACACCTAAGTCTAACCGTTTTATGACATTTTTTTTTTGCAAGACGTAAAATATCTGCCAATTTCTTCATTCGGAAGCATTTATTGTTTCGCGTCAGTGAGAGTTTTGTTGTAGAAAAAGGACGCGAATAACGGATTTCATAAGAAATCTTGATACATATTAATACAGCGAAAAATAAGATGAATGAAATGAAATTAAAAACTGCCAAAAAACTTTTTTTTTTAAATGGATCTTGTCATATTTAGCATTAAAATTTAAGTCAATTTTATATAAGGTTTTATATGCCTAATATTTTTACTTTTTGAAATATTTCCTTTTAAAGTATGCTAATAGTATGCTGTTGCCATTTAAGTTCAGTTAGTGTAAGGTGGATATGATGGCGTTTAAACAAAACAAGTGCTAAAGTGCTGCCACTATGATTTACCATTTCATAGTTGACCATAATATTGGCGATGCGCTTATGAAGATCCATAGATGTAAATGTAAATGTAAATGTAAATTAATGAACGGTTAATAAAAAAATTAATAGCTTACAAAGAATAATAATTATTGTAACATTTGTTCAATATGTCCTCCACTTTGAGCAATACAAATAGTAGTTCAGGGTTCAGATTCAGTATCTATTAAATGACCGATTCCTTCTCTTATCGGACGTTTATGTTTCTCGGCAGTTGACCGTTTGTATTTGTAAACTAAATCTTTAAGAAATTGAAAAAAATCAAGGGGAATTAAATCGGGGCTCCTTGGAGGGCAGGCGTAACTACAATTCTCCCCGATCCATTCTCTATAGTGTGCATTTAAATAGACGCTAATTTCTTGGTTTCTGTGATAATGAGCTTCATCCTGCTGCCAAATAATATTAGCAAATCTCTTTTCTGAATAGTGTATCTCCATAAGATTGTTGCAAAAATGTAAACCTTATTTCTACACTGGACAGAATGTTTAGAACTTCCAGTTGTTTATTTAAAGGCACGTTCGAATCGTTGTTCTTTTGACATCTAGATCTAAAGACGCATTTCGAGTTAGATCTTCAGGAGTGTCTGCAAAATGCAACAAAATATTAAGTAACTCTTCATCATTTAAAATCTGACGACGTCTAATTTTTTCTTTCTTCAAAGTTCCATGAATTCTAAAATGTTGGTAGTTTCTGTCTAAGATCTTTTTTTCCGGACACCTCCTTAATGGAAATTTTGTTATATAATCTCTAAGAGATCCGTTTTTATTGTTGTTACATAACAATCTTTTAAAAATGTCAAAAATGGTTAAACTTAGGTATAGGACAGTATTCACAAAATATGTCTAGATTTTGATATAGAATTCAAAAATGAACTAATATACTAGGTGTTCCATTTAAAATAAGAAAGTTGATATTGATCCACGAAAAATTAAACACCCTGTATATACTAAATTAAAATAAATTGAAGGTTTGCAGTATCCGAATTAACTTTTGTATATAATTTTTGGCTCCATCTTATCTTATCAAGTCACCACCTATTCATTAAGTAGTATCCTTCATCTTTTTATTTTATATAGGCTTGACGCTCCCTATTTGTCCACTTGGAGCCTGACACTATTTTTAAAATTACTGCAAAGTTGCAACATGTGCCTAAATCTAAAACTAATCTCTAATCTAAATTTAATTGAGCAGTATCAATGTTTAGTCCACTGCCATAATATTGAAATAAATGGAAAAATGCAATGCGTCTTCTTATAGTACATAACAGCAATTACATCTGGCTACAAAGAGACCATTTTAATTTGTCATACAAAAAAGGTTCCGAGCAGGAAAATCGTTTACCATGATGACACCTAAATTCTTTTCCTTGAAACGTAAACAACGGCTGTCATATAAAATTTTATATACAAGTCTGTGGACGAGGGCTCTCGTAGAAAACGCCTTTTCCGAAAGATGGAACGAAGCTTGATGATTTATAGAGCTGTGCAAAAAATTGAGGATTTTATGTTTGGGCTACAACTGTCTCGTGACGAAGACCGCCCTATTTATACACCAAGTAAATCGAGTCCATCGATTAAAATTCGACCTTGACTAGTAGTGGATTTCCGATCGATCAAAGGAAGCGAACCAAATTTAAGTCAACTTTTTCCAAGCGGAAGCGTCAATCCAAAGTCAAGCCCATAATCGATCATTACTTACCCGAATAAGCTCTGTTTATCCGTCTCCAATGCTCCTAATCCCCGATCCGAAATGCAGTATTGCTCCCTAATATCCTGTTTGCTATAATGAGCCGCATTCGATGCTGCCGGCTCCCTCGTCGCGCCCGCCCCACCCCTCCGATCTTTACCGTGGAGACGACCCATTATCTCATCCTCCGAACCGTAGTTTAGGGCCGTGTGTTGAATATCAGCCTGGAAAACGAATTGGGAATAATGGATCGCTCGGTTTAAAGCTATCAGCGTTATGATTAATTTCATGAATTTTTCATTTCTCAGTCGTCCGACGGATCTGTTGATAGCGCCCATGGTTTCGAATGATTTTCCGCTGTCCTAACGTCAAATTTATCTCCGGGATATTGGGGGTTCCTCAGAGGTCTATGTTGGGACCAGTATTTACTAGATATACATGAATGATCTATTAGATCACTTATCATCTAATCATGTAATGTTATTCGCAATCGTAAACACAGCGGGGAACCCTGACGAACTGAGAAACAAGAATCAATCGACTGAATAATCTATATAAGATTGATTGGTTGGGGTTATTGTAATTTAAAAATGCTTTATTCTAATCGGAAGTATCTAAATTGACATACTATTTGCATTTAAAAATTGCAAAATTGTTGTCTAGTGTAGTTGTCTAGAACACTGGTACCCAGACTTTTGTTTTAGAGGTTACTTTAGCTGGTTCCGGTGGACCTATATTTCTACCACTTTGGGAACCACTGTCCTAGACAAAGTTTAATTGTTAATCTAAGCTGTGGCCATGTTCTAACAATACCACGCCATAACAAATAACTCTATAAAAAGATCTTTCCTTAGAATATTGTCACCATCATAAATCAGTTTCAAATAGTCGATTTCTCAACACCACCAGTATCTTATAGAAAAGAAATTTAAATAACGATTTCAATCGCAGCTTTAAAAATATATTTTTTGTGTTATAAACGACTGTTTTTATTTTTATTTTGATTTTTGTCCTATGCGTACATTTACAAATTTCTAGGGTATTTTTAAACAAATGTCTGCTTTAACGGTGTCATGTACTGTCCTTTTCCTTACACGGAGCTAGCGGCATAATAAGGTTTTATAAGTTTAAAACAGTTCTGACTATTGGGTAATTTATAGATAGACTCGTAAATCTGGTTTACCAGAAAACACGCCTTGATACTTATTTCCCAGTTTATTCCTTCTGAGTCGGTTGTTTATAAATAAACATTTCGCCAATCATCCTATTGGCTTCTTCAAAGCCGAGTTTCAGTTTAGCTCTGAAGAAGCCAACAGCACCGACCCAGGAGGAATCCAGAAGATTTATAAATAGTATTACAGTACCCTGCGGAAGTTCTTTGAAAATAAATAAATAAATTTGTGACTTTTCTCTGCATATATATCTACCATTACACTGAGAAAGATGGAAGTATTTATTTAACAAACATTCTATAAGATCAGTTAATTACTATGCCCCATATCACCCAAATCTTTAAAAATACGAGACTGTCCTTCCTAAACTCCCGTTGAACACTATAATTATGTCTTTCTTTTTCCAGTTTTTCCTTAATTTATCGTTAGGATAAAATAAATAAAAATAGCTATACAATGTTGCTTCAGAAAATATTTGTTATTTAATTAAATACCTAAGGAAGGTACAAAAATTTAAAAAATATAGAAATTCACTTAATTTTGCAAATAATTTACAGAAAATCAATAAACTGCTTGCATTCGTGGGAGTAAGCTTCTTATTAAGTTTTGGATGGTTGCTTGAGGAATATTTTCCAATTGCAAAGGAACAACACGCTCCAACTCTGGCAGACTAATTGGGTCTAATACATTTTTTTAGAAGATTTCAAAGGTATTCTATTGGATTTAAGGGTGAGCTTCTTGGTGGCCACTGCAAGATATGGGTTGATTTCAATTAAGTAATCTAAGATAGTTCTTGCGATGCGATGCTTTGCATTACTTTGCCTGAATATGAAGGTGTCTCCTATAATTCGAGCAAAGGGCATTACGTGTGATCTTGAATAAAGGTTTCGAAATAGAATTCCGCATTCATAGACCTCGGACTTCACCCAGAAAATTTTTGAACCACAACCATATCACTCTTTTGGAGAGACGATTCGGTCATGCAAGACTATCTGAACATTTTAGGCTTACTGGAGTTTCAGATTTGAACAAGATTTTCTGCCAGTTATACACAGCCCAGTGTGCATGATCTCTTGAGAATCTTAATAGACGGGATTTGTAATCTGCAGCTTTCTACTAGCTAATCTAACTTGATATCCAATCCTTTTTGTTAGTTCATAATAACTTGGAGTTGATTACTTAGCTCTCTACTAGTACATTTTCTATTTGCTTGAAAAAGTTTTTATCAATTTGACTTGTAGCCATTTTGCTGCCCTAATCGCTAACAGTACAAATAACCCAGAAAATGGAAGGGACTAAAGAGAACATAATAATTAAATCAATAGATAAAGACTATGAGAATAATAATTTATATATAAAATACGAAAATAATTTCATAAAGTATCGGTTAAGAAATGGTTTATCCAATCAAGTAGAATAATTGAGAAATAGTTATATACAAACAATAGTATGCTATGCAATAAGTGCTCGTACAAATTCTCCAAATTACAGTAATTCTGAAAGACTATACCTTGCATTGTTCTAAAGAAAATCTTAAGAATCTTAAGAAAGAGCACATAAGTTAAAATATCTTTAACACTTTAATCTCGACGAAACTCCAGATCCGTTGTTCCTAATGGAAAGCGTGCATGACTAGCGTGTTGAAACAAATTTATTTTCGAAATATTTGTTCTCCTTTTATATCATCTCCTTAAAAATATCAAGTTAACGTTATTTGAGGACTTTACAACACTTTGTCCTATACATTCTTTCTAATATGGAAAGTATATTCTATTTATAGCAGAACGAAACGTTTAAAAAGGGGCCGCTTGCAGGAATTCATGCGGAAATTATCAAAAACAGACTCGAAATACCTATACCGTTTTGCCATTTTCCTTGGCAGTTTTGCTTATCTTAAATGAAGCTTTGCTAGAAATATAGCGCAACAAGACATCAACAGAAACTCGCTTTGAAAGCTTCAGGGAAAATCCAATTAGGTAGAAATACCGAAACCTGAAGTAAATTTTATGTTCTATATGTATATTTTTATATACTATCAAACACGCGGATCATATTTTTCGATTTTTAAATTACAATAATACGAACGAATGCGAAAGATTTTACTTGCCTGGGTCGAGACATCTAAATGGTTAAGCACCACCCTGGAAGTGCCCAAATACCCTGGAACAGAAAATGAATATTAATCATTGTAATTCATCAAAAGCAGTAAAATTATGATAACAAGGATAAAGCTAACTGCGAAGTAACGTCTGGAACTTTCCTGGAGGATATGCGTCGCGGGATTCTTTGAGTTATTTTAAGCGACAGGTGTATTTTGGTCTCTATTGGACGAGACCTGACGTTACGTCATGCATATTCCTATTTACTCTAGCACGTGGAGTATATATCATGTCGCAAGCCCACCCATATTGAACTTAAATTTTGCCAAGTTGAACAATTATACAGGACTGACCGAGTTTATGTATGTCTAATAGCAGTAATATGTAGGTTCCTACAACTAACAAAATAGTAAATAGTAATAGTAATGTAATCTGCCATATATTCAGAATTTATTATTAAATTTTAGAACAAATTATATATATAACAATTATTGTTGTAAATTATGGATATTGTTAAATGTTAAAGAAGAAGTTAAAAAATTTCGAATTGACCAGCCAATAACTAACCAAAATTAAAAAAAACAAAACAGTTCAATACAAAAATTGTATATTGTGAACTTAACTTTTTATATTTTGCATTATCTCTGGAACGCAATACAACAATGGAACACACCATTTTATTACTTCTTACGGCTGCAGCTTATTTGATTATCTGCAGTTTAAACTATATAAAACTATAGGCATAGTCCTGTTTACTAAAGAAATTAAAATCTTTTGTTTCTTTTTCTTTAATATTTGACCAGTTAGAAAGAACTTTTGATTATTATTTTAGATATCTAGAACCTTTTAAAACAAGAAATTACTAAAAGGAGATCTTTTTTGTTCAATGTTCAAAATGCCTACCATTTTGTTTTTTCATATTCCATTCACATTGCAAATTTCAAATGTTTCTAAAAGAAAAAAATTGGTATTTTATTAATGCTGTGAGCTTCAATTATAATTTTTCGGCATTCTTTTGGAAGACTTCAAAACAGATTTTTAATGAAGGAATTTCCATTAATAAAGCACTTGGAAATTAGGTAAACTTGTGTGAAGCATCACGCTTCAATAGCAAAAATTTATTTTTACATTAACTTGTTATCTTATCGTAGGAATAAAATTACCCGATTAGTTATCTTATTAATAAGTAAATGAAAAATTGCTTTTGTATAGCGCCAATTCTATAAAAAAACGAAATACGTATTATCTCAAATTAATGCCTCAAATTAAGTTTTACTTATTTAATTTGCTGAATAGCTTTACTAACTTAACAATTTTATGTGATACTTAGAAAGGGTATCACACGTTGTTGTTTTTAATATTTTCCGACATCTATTAAATTTTCTTTTCAACGCTCTATCAATTTACGCCTATTGCTGAAAAATAAACTTTCGTGACCAAAGTTACAGTTATATAGCTGTTTCATTGTCCGCCACATATAATTTTTTACCGTTCCACCTCACTCATCGCTGTGACAAATACGTTGTCCGAGTAAGTAATGAAATGTGACTGTGTTGCTGTTTGAATCCTTAATGTTTCTAAGTAATTGCTAAACCTGCTGCGTTCCCAATTCCTCAATATTTCAATTTATATTGTACAACCGTATGTGTGCTGTGTATACCTGCTGGTTGGTCCATCGTGTCGTTTTGACGTCTCATTAAAGCTTTCATTGCTAATTTGGCCTGAAATCAAGGAAAAAACTGCGTTGGAACATTTATCCGTTTACATTTAGCAACTGATGGCATGGTTCAAATTTATCAAGCAGGTGCACATGAGATCGTTGCTTAATCTGTGCGATGTTGGGTGGTGCAATTGACACGAAACGAAAATAACGAACGACAACGCAATGGGTCAAACAGGCGAACAATCAGTTTAAACATCAATAAATGCAATTTTGAGAGATACCCGGTATATTGTGATATTTTTAAATAATAACGTATAGTACATAGATTGCTCGTAAGTCAACTTAATCTTACAACGAATGAGTGAGGGGAAATGTCCACAAGTTGGTGGGGGATCTAAAAGATTAAAAGGACGCTCGACAAATGATTGATGAATTGTGTAATAGCAGTTTGCCCTTGTAATACATTTCATCTGAGATGTTCATAGACTGCATACACTTGTGTAGCGAAAGGGTGGTGAGCTTATGTTTTTTTTTGATAATATAGTGACTGCAAAGCCGACTATGGTATGGTATTTTAAATTTCACCCACTATTCTGCATTTTGCGCCATTTTCTGTCTAAGCAGCTATTTCCACACCTTATTTCATTTTGAATTAACATTTATCTGTATCCGGGCATATTTGGTTGAAATTGTTGGATGAAAACGAGGGTTGAATTGACTGCGCGTACGCATATTGCCCATTTAATAACATTTTTTCGTGATGGCTTTAAAAGGCCCCCATACGAGGTGAACTGGGCGGGATACGTACATTCGATCTTCCATTTCTTTTTTTGTTATGTTGGTACACATGTCCCTAACATATGTTCACAGTTTCAGTTAGTGTGCAGGTTTACTTTTTATGTGAGACGGAAGAGTTAGACGTTTCTGTATGCTCGGCGATTTTATGCTGTCAAGAAGAATGGTGAATTTTCTTCGAACAAAAAAAATGTTTGTAAGTGGTATAAGCTGATCCTAGATGGCCGAAAAGTCGCAGATAATGAACCTCGTTGTGGACATCCCAGCAAATCAAAAAATGATAAACGCGTTGAAGAAGTAAAACAAATGATGAAAAATCTTCGGATCACAATTAGAGAAGTGGGTGAAGACGTCGCCATCTCTATTGGCTCGTACCATGTAATTTTTTCCTAAGATTTGGACATGAAACGTGTAGCAGCAAAATTTGTTCCGGGACTGCTTAATTTGGAACAAAAGGACCGTCGAAGGACCATCGCTCAAGAGCTGTTGAACGAGGTTAATGATTATCCTGACATGCTGAACGATTCATGGGAATATGTTTATGGCGTCGATACCAAAGCCCAGTCGTCACGATGGCAGAACCCAAAATCAAAAAGACCGAATAAATCACTTCGAGTTCTTACTATAAGGTTGTACTGTCAATAATGAGTATTATCTTGATGTTATGCACCGTTTGCGAAGAAAACGTCCGGGAAAACAATTCATGGATTTTGCATAGCGATAATGCAATTGCTCACTCATCGTTGCTTGTGTCTTTTTGACCAAAAATAAAATCTGCCACTTTTCCTGTTCACAAAACTCAAGAAACCTATGAAAGGAAGGAGGTTTGGCACGATTGAGGAGGTAAAGGAAAAATTGCTGAAAGAACTCAAGGCTATACCAGAAAGTACGTATCAGGAGGATTGGAAAAAACGTTTACACAAGTGTATTATATCTGGCGGGATTACTTCGAAGGGGACAACACTAAACTTGATGAATAAATAAAGACTTTTCAATAAAACTTAAAAGTCACCTTACTTTTTGAATAGCTGTATGGTGACACTAGATTGATCTTAGATTGGTTGATAACCAGGAATGTGATTAAGTTTAATACCTAAGTATTTTAAATTTCCTACATTCGCTTATAAAATTATACAGACTTGTTTTAAACGTTGAAAAGAGAACTTGGTAGACTTTTGTATTTAGAATAATCGGTTTTTGGACATATATATATGTAAAAAAAATTGTTTACAAGATATAAATCAGAATTAAATTTTGATTAAAAAATTACAAGCAATATTTTACCAAAAGTAGACCATATCAGGGACCTGGGATTTATCATCGATTTCAAACTAATATTTGACATACTAGAATATACTAGAAAAATTTATCTCATATAAGGAACACATCATAATATATCGCTATGTTTCTACTTGTGAATACTTTATTATTAATATTTGTTAACTAAAAGAAGGATGGAGGATATAATGGTGCCTTATAAAATTGTACATTGGCGCTACAATGCTCCGATTAGCTAATATATTTCATTATCCACTCTGTAGAATAGTGATAATTGGAAATATGATATTTAAGGACTTTAGCTCAACACCACAAACACCTTTTAAAGACTTGTGCATATTGTTTTCTGTTAGTTTTTTGAACAGGGTTTTGGTTAATTTCTACGCAAAATAAAATTGTAACGAAGATTTGGGGGTGTTATTTGACACTAACCTTTCTTTTGCTAACCATATCAATCAAACTTGTAATAGTGTTTTCAAAATATTACGATTCATATTTCTGAATGCTAGTGAGTTTACGAGCGAAGAGGGGCTAAAGGCACTCTACTAAAGTTATGTTGGATTTGAGCTGTAGCATGGGGTCATCATATGGCAGACTATTATCAATAAATATTGTTAGAAAGAGTTCAAAGGAAATTTTTAAAATATCTAGCTTTATAGTGTTATGTTGTATTTCCACAGATATGTTTTGACCATAATGTTCTCTTAAGGTGATTTGAAATATCTGCTTTAATTAATCGTAGGAACTACGGATCAGTTCAATTTTTGATTTAAATAATATAGATCTCTTATAGACAACTCTGAATTGTTATCACCGATCGGCTTCCAAATTCCGTCGCGGGTAGTCAAACAAATATTCCACCTTCCAACTCCCACCAGAAACTTTTTGGTTTTATTTGTAGTGATATATGTCAATGATCTAACATCGGCTCAGCTTAGTTTGGCATTAAAAGATAATTCAGGTGATTATTGTAGATTCGGTTTTGAGTTTAGATTTTTTTTTTTTTTATAAGCATATAAAGTTCTCTTGGTTCGTTTGGTGCCTACTATGTTGTTCATTGGTCCGTTTTGTGTATTTGGAATTTTCATTATTTGACCTGGTAACTATAGTTAGTGAATTAGTTATTATTATTATTATACAAAACCTTCCTAATGGTTGATAGATTATAGTTTTTTCCTTCTTATTTTAATTGTCATGTAATTTTGTGGACACGGTTTGGGTGACTTGTAGTGTCCCTAACGAACGCGCTCTCAGATGTTTTGGGCAGTCAACAATCAATTTAGCCGCAGTTAGTTCGTCATTCCGGCAGTTTTAACTTTGCATGTGGCAGTATTGTTCTCAAAATGTGCTCAAATGCATTAAATCTTGAGAAAAAAATGGGTCAAAATAGAAATATAAACAGAACGTAAATAGAATTCCCTCGAATGAATCAATCGTATAAACACAGAAACTGGTTCGGCAGTTTCTACCTAATTAGAAATATCGTAATTAGGGCATGAAAACATCGCGGTTAAATTAAATTCTACTTAACCAAACGCGAAAACGCCCTTAACGAGCGCTTCACTTAGTTGGGCAATAAACTAACGAAATATTTCCCGTAGCTACTATGTAAATGAACGCGGTAGCATCGCAGCTAGTCCCGCGTAAGGAAAATTAACGATAACCGGATAAATAGTGAATGGGTTTTCTGGTTTGTGTTGAAAGTAAGCGAGTTACTCTCTGGTTTGTATTTTAATTCGACTCTCGCTAAACGTTGGGTTTAGTTACCATTATTTGCTAATGAAGGGCTATTGGGAAAAGCATTAAACAAATCTTTTAAAGTAGAATCAGTAAGCTCTTGGAGCTATCGGGAGCTATTATGTTGGAAATGAAAATACGGAAAATGTAACTGAAAATATGGGATGATACTTCGTATACATATACACGAAGTACAAATATATTCAAAGAGATATGTGCACGAATATATAATTACTTAGTTAAAGTGAGACAAAAGAAAAAGTTGTTTAATATATTTTTCTACCCCCGTCTCAAAAATACCTAATTACACATTGATCTAGCATGCGGGAAGCGTCACTTTACCACGTCAGTTGCGTTTCTCACGAATCCGAGCCGAGGATTTTACCTCAGCACGGATTTGGGAGCAATCGGATGTTTTCGGAGATATTTCATAACACGTTCGGTAAACTTTTTAACTCACTCGTTTATTAAAAACTCGCTCTGCTGCGCTCCGCTCGTGTCATAAATGCTGTTTACCGCACTTGTTGCATAACATACTATTATAGAGCTAGAGGGTTGATGGAACTGTTACTCAATTTGTGATCGAATTCATTAAGACTTGCTATAATAAACTAAACAATACAATTTTTTATTAATTGAAATGCATCTTTTCGATGCTGAATTTTAATGTAACCAATTAGGAATTCAGAAATTGTAAAGGCAGTAATGTTTTATTTGGAATTGTTCAGAAAAAATATAATTATTACCTAATGTAATATATGCACTTGAAAACTTATATTTGAATTATCGAGAAACTGGAGAGAAAAATATTTTTTTCTACTCCCATCTCTAAAATACATAATTACACACCGAACTAGCGTGCGGGAAGCGTCACTTTACCACGGCAGTTTCGTTTCCACGGATCCGAGCCACTTCAAACATTTTCGGGATTTTACCACAGGGATTTGGGAGCGATCGGATGTTTTCGGAGATATTTCCCACGCTTTGAATTTGACGTTTGTCAATTCTGACGGTCAGTGAATGTATTTGTGTTGTTTTCCGAAAATGTACTCAAAAAATAAAGGTCGTAGAAAATACAGTATGCAACACGTTCGCTAAACTTTTTAACTCATTCGTTTATTAAAAACTCGGTCCGCTGCGCTCCGCTTGTATCAAATAAACTCGTGAGTCAAATGCCGTTTACCGCACTTGTTGCATATTATACTATTTTCTACTCCCGTCTCTAAAATACCTAATTATCCACCGATG